ATTCTTTCTCCCTTGATTTACAGCCCTTCCGTGATTTGGGGCAGAGATGGTTCCTTATTCCCTGCAATTGAATCCTTTTTTAATTTAAAAGCATCAGGGGAACCGACTCTCCGATGCTTCAGATGTTAAAGCCGGCATCCCTAGCACCTGATCCCAAGGTCCTTCGCCTGTCCTCCATCCCAAAGTGTGGCGGGCGGTCATCAAACCCTCTTTTGCAGCCCTGAAACCTGGGCTTGCTGACTCCCACCCACCCAAATTGCCTCCCCTCTCAAATTATCCTCCTCATTCGGCAAGGAGGGACCCTCTCGGCTTTCCCCGGTCCCATTTGTTACCGATGGGCTGCGCTCCGTGAAATGAATAAATATTTATACGTGTAGGGAAATCACACTGGGATTACTTGACGTTCACTGTTCCAGGATCCATCCAAGGGTGGAATTGCCACCCTTTCCCCATTCCACCACCCGCTCCCAACCCCCCCAATCCCCCCCCCAAATGCATCTGTTTTTCACAGGTGAAGTGTTCCATGCTCATCACTCTTATGATCCTCCGTAATAAGGAGGGGTGGAGTATCGCGGTCCAGAATGAGCACCTTTTCGCAACGTTTGCAAACTTGGGCGTTTTGAAACAACTCCGGACCTCGGAGGCGATTTTACTCCAACTAGAGAAGGAGTTCCGGGCTGGAACTGGCTCACTTTGATGGCACTCGTCCGTTGTTAAAAACTGTTTTCGAACTCAGGGCCCCTCCGCTTGGGGTGTGTGTGTGTGTCTCAAGTCTCTCTGTCCGTCGGGATCCACTCCTTGATCGCTCTGGGAAAGCAATTCTCTGCCCAGCTCAGAGATCGGAGTGACGTCCGTGAGTCGTGGGGCCCTTTTGCAAAACTCGGGTTTGCTTGGCCCAATGTTTGGTCGCGAGAAGCCAACATTTGCTCAAGGAGAAAATGTCCTGTTGCAATCGGACGGAGTCGCCAGGCTGTACTTGATTAGTCCTGAGGCTGGCGCGTTGGCCGGTCGGGATTTCTCAACCAGAGGAGAGCTGGTCTCTACATGGACAAGGAGGGGTTAAAAGAGAGGAAGGGGGACGATTGGGAGCACACCATACACTCCCCCCCCTTCCCCGAGGGAGACAGTCTGGAGTTGAGTCCCGTTCTAAACTCCCCAGCATGCAACTGAGCTGGCCATGCGCAAAACTTCCGTTATCATCCGGCACAACGAAGAGCTCAGCAAGCCTCAGGGATACGCCAGGAGGGGTTAGGAGATACTTCCAAAAGAGGCTGGGCAGGGAGGTGGGGTGGGGGTGGGAAAGAAGGGGGGGGTTAAGGTGGAAAAAAGAAGAACAAAAGGAATAAGTACAGAAGCTGCAGCGACAGACCAA